CCAAAGTCCTGCTACATAATACCTGCAAAAAACATTCGCTATGTCAGATTCAGGTGTCATTTGCCATGATCAGGCCATGTAAGGGGTGATGATCATTAGGATTCAGAGGTGACCTAGGAGGTCAGCAAGAGGAACATGAGGGCTGCTGGACACTTAGTCGAAGTTTAGGTTTCCCAGCAGACTTTGGGAAACCATTCCTTTGGAATGGAGTAAAGCTTGGAGGCCTGAGCAGTGGAAAAGGCAAGTAAGTACACTTTTGTCTAGAAGGGTATGCTATTTTGGAGATTTTGTGTACATCCCAGGGTCACTTTCAAAAAGGACTTCTTACATGTGCGTGACAAAGGGACAGTATATCTGCAAAGGGCATCTCCTGACCCCATTAAACTCCCCTTTACCAGCGCTCCCCTGCTGCTCCTACGGTAGCTTCACCACAGCCGGATACAAAACCCACATTCCCTGGTATGGAGGAACAAGTGAGCAATTACTAGCCCCAATCTATGTCAGAAATGCAGTCGTGTAAGCATTTCACTGCATATCATACTTGTACGATTGTGTATGTGACAAATAAATCTATCTATGACTAAAATAGTGACATCTAAAAATTGGAAGAAAAAGAAAAAAAATTCTTTAGAAAATGAGTGCACGAGACGGAAAACCTTAAAATCACATTGCATTTTGCATGGACTTCGTTAAACTAACGAGAAGTGAAAGCCTACTCACAGATAACCCTAAAACCAATGCTTTGACGCTAACCAGTCACTGCGGCTGCTATGGGGCTGCAAGCACAAACGTTTTATTGAGTCGTTTATTCTGACAACTGATCCCCTATCTCTGAGAGTTCCTGAGCCTGATGAAACCTGTGAGCTTTGTGCTGGAAAGACCATTGTTTTCTATGGCTCTGTGCCAGATTTGGAGTGCTGTTTCGTCTTGCAAGCGACAGAACAAAGCTCCAAACCACCGAGCCAAACATTCCAAAACAAGACAAGCATTATAGGAGGAGGAAAAAAAAATTGCACTGAGAGATGGGAATAAAATGACTTCCAACAGCTCGGTGACATACTGGTCAAAATATTGACTCCAAGAAAATGGAAGAGAGTAAATGTCCTCTTATTTATCACTCAGGGGGACACTAGGCTACTTTGCTGAGGAATGCTGCCATCTAAGAGCCTTTGTGATCTTGAACAATCATTTCTCATTACTTCTGAAGGATATATGAAAGTAGTGGGAGGATTTCTACTAGAATATGGGAGCGAGTGAAATATGACCAGAATTTTATACAGACAAAAAAAAAGAAAAACCCACAAACAAGACTGACATGTGGTCCTCACCTTCCCCAGAAAAACCAAGATTGGCATGTGTCCATCACCTTCTCTAGGAAAACCAAAACTGACATGCAACCCTCACCTTCCCCAGAAAACCCAAGATTGACATGCAACCATCACCCCTCTGTAGGAAAACCAAAATTGACATGTGACCATCACCTTTTCTAGGAAAACCAAAATTGACATGTGACCCGGAAGTGACAAATTCATTGTTGCTTCCAAGTTCACTCATTAAGCTGGCCATAATGCGATGGTTGTAAGGTAATTAAAAAAAAACTTACGATCTGCCCATCTTGGACAGGCAGATCGTACTTGCGATCATCGCAAGCCCGCCCCGCTGAGGGACGGGCTTCCGATGACTGCAATGCTGAGCGGACAGTGTGCGTTTGCGAGCAGGCGGGTTTTCAAACATGCTCGTAAGACAAAAGACATGGGACCGTACAGTAGAAACAGTCGCACGCCTTCCATACACGTGCCGATTATCGTACGATCGCGGGATTTCCCACGATTATCGTACGATAAATCGGCAGGTGTATGGGCACCTTTTAAAAGGTGGCCACACACTTTACAACCATCGCAAGACCTTAGTCTTGCGATGGTTGTAAAGTAATTGAAAAAACGTACGATCTGCCCATCTTGGACAGGCAGATCGTACTCTAGATTATTGCAAGCACGCCCACCTGGGGGGCGGGATTCCGATGACCGCAATGCTGAATGGGCAGTGTGCGCGTGCGCACACCGGCCCGTTCGCATTTGTCTCCCGAGCACCGTTCAAACCAGCCGAAAATCGTACGATTTTCGGCTGGTTTTCTAGCGTGCTCCTTAGACAAAAGACGTGCGACCGTACAGTAGAAACGGTCGCACGTCTTCATTCACACTGCTCGATTCTCTTACGATCGCGGGATTTACCACGATTCTCGTAGAGAATCGAGCAGTGTATGGGCACCTTTAGAGAGATCAGAGCACGGATGTTCATTGGTCTCCCTCCCATCTTGCCACTGACACACATCATGGCTGTCCAAGGCCCACAGGAGAGGCAGCAGAGCCTGGGATACGGGGGTGGGCACAACTTGAGGAAGCGATCAGCCACCCAAATCACTTGCAATACAAAGCCGACATTTGGCTGGTGTGGGCTGAACACAAAAGCCCGTGCTCCTGACAATGTAAGCCTTCTATCAGTGGCAGCAAAAGGGTTATAGCAGGTCTGCATAACAGCCAAGCAAGTAGCATTTTTTTTTTAGAAATGAGATTAAAAATGGCAGCTTACATGTGTCTTAAATGACAGGTTTCCCAAAAGAAAAATCTGCTAAATTCTTTCCAAAACTTGTGAGCAGACCAGCTGTCCGCCCTCACCACCAGCTGTGTCCACTAAATAAAACAAGGATCAGGTTGGTCAGTGCAGCACACAAACCTATTTCCAGCACGCTGCACCAGTCTGGCCTGGTTTATGATGCACAGGAGAGCGGTGAATGTGGGAGGGTGTAAAATCTTTTTTTTTACAGTACGCTGAAACACTCAGGGATGGAAAAACAAAAGCTTCAGGACAAACAGACGCTGTGTTACTCTAAACTCATTGTCATAAAAATGGAGCATAATTTGTGTTTGGAGCCATGCAACATGCCCTCTATAGACACATCTAATGCGGCAATGAAAAAGCAATAAGAAAGTGCAATATATTAGTAAAATACAAGCAGATGGAGTTGCTGCGGTCATTTGAGTGGAAGCATACTGTTAATTGGTTGTTATTGGTCACTCACTGTATTCAGACTTTTTAAAGTGTATATAAACCCAAACAATAACCTGCTCTTTTATTCCTTTTTGGTCTGTGAAATATACCATTGAAAGCATTTTGTTAGATAAAGAAGAAATACCGGTTGATTATATAAAGATTCATAATTAGCCCTCTCCGTTATCTTGGATCACAGAACATATTTGTCCCAATTTTGTAAAGATGAGCACAGTGGAAGGGATTCAGCAAATTAGCAAAAAGGCACCTGGGCAGGGCTGACACCATTCGGTCCACAATATTCTTTGAGTCGTCAGTCCATGAGCCGAGTGCCTCTCCGACACATACAACAGGTATTTTCTATACCCGTATGGTCTTGGGGAGATGTGTAAAAATATTAAATAATGGACTTCATTATAGCTGCCATATAATTGCAAGGAAAGAAGGCAAGTTTTAAACTGCTTGTATTTAAACCTGAACTCCAGCCACATATAACAAAATCAACCAATGAATGCAGTTCTAGATAGGTTAAAACATCATGAAATTGGTATTTAAAATGTAACTGGTGCAAGTACCCAAATCTGACTTACGATCAGCCTCTTTTACACAACAGGCTGGGAGAGCGAGGGGCAGCAATAATATATTTGATAGATTACAGCTTACTAGTCATTAGATGTGGTGATTGTATTTTGTATTTTCTCAGACTCCCCCCTCTTTTCACCTAATGATCCTGCCAATAACACACTTCCTGTTTTAGGGTGACAACGTACTGCATAGCAGGGGTGTTGAATTCCTATAGCCTGGGGCATGTTTTTTTCTACATTTAGCCCAGCTTCGGGCAAGCAGGGCTAAATGTACAGTGGGGAAGCCGCCGTTTGTTTTGTACAAGTGATCTCGGCAATGCCGCCAAGCATTCACTTGCAATAAGCCAGCAGGTCTGCCCCCCCTCCATGGTCCACCCCCACCGCCGGCTGTCTCTCTCCCCGTCGTGGTTTTCAGGGCCCCCCCCCATTAATCTGGGGGACCCCAGACCATGCCAAAGTAGTTCAGGATGGAGAGCGGGGAGCAGAAAGGAGAACGTTAATCCTCAGGTCTGCTCCGTATGAACACTTAGACAGGAATGCTGTACTCACAGCCTTCCTATCTCAGCTGTCACAGGAGAGCCAGCACAGTGCTGTGCTAGGACTCCTGTGTAGGACCACCAATACGGACACCAGTATCAGTGCATCCCTAGTATCTATGGAGGAGTACGGATGTCATCCTAGGACAGAGAATGGGTTTTACAGAACACCCCCTCCAATCAATAACATTGGGGGGAGGTTTTGTTTAGTTCAGAGCTGAAGTTGGCAGGACTGATAACACGTGTTGAGATAATTCTGCAGAGACCAAAAAGGACAGCATTGGATCTTGGCAGGATCAAACAGATATAACAAGACATTTCCAATGGTATATTTATATTTACTAGACCAAAGTGGAGCAAAAAAAAAAAGAGAAATGTTTATTGTTAAAGCTTAAGGCCTTGTTCACACCAAGCGCGTTCCAGGAGCAGAGCAGTTACAGACCGGATCAAAACTGCGTCCAATGTATTCCAAGGGTATTTTGGGGTCTAGTTCACATCGCAGCGTTCAGTTCCAGAGCATGTAAAAAACTGCAGCAAGCCCTATTTTACCTGCACTGGAACACATGTAAACGCATCAAAAATGCATGCAAACGCCCTGGAACGCACTAAAAGCCCATTCTAAACTAAAAACCAAAAACGGCCCGGAACGCATCAAAAACGCAGCACAACCCACTGCACTGCGTGTGCAGAAACTCATGCAGATCTGGTCTGCATTTGGTGTGAACAAGCCCTTAATATACTTTCAGGAATTCAGTAATGTCCGGTTTAAAAGGAAAATACAGCTTTTTAGACTGAAGTCAATAGAGATAAGTAAAAAAAAAATCTTGCTTACCTCCATCTGAGCAGCTGCAATCCTTTGATCATAGTGGCCCAGAAGGTTTGGGAAAAAGGTCATATTGTAACTCAATCCAATACATCTGGGCACTGTGATGGGTTCACAGGTGAATGCACTGTGCCCATATATAACAGGCAGCAGTAAAGTGCTCAGAATGATCAGCCCACAAAGCCACATCTTTACACCGGGGTCTGTAGATACTGTAGAAGGTCAAGTCCAGGTTGGTTACGGCTTCATTGGGATTGGTAATGGTGCAAAGTTAGGAACAGAGAAATTACCATTTACTTCTACATCCAACATTCCCAGGTGGCGATTCAATACCAGGCAGTGGAATCATACAGGATTTATTTTTTGCGGGCATCCTGTTAGGAAAAAACATATAAAGTACATCAACTAAAATGGCAATTATGAGAATAAACACATTCAAGGTCCTTATAACAAAGACATGTAATTTGGCCATAATAGGAACTCTTACAAACAGGAAACACAAGTGTTACTTTGCATCAAGTAACTTGACTAAAGTATCCGGCATTACCCAGAACACAAGATTTGAATAGAGAATCCGGCATTACCCAGAATACAAAGTTTCTATTAGAGGTGCATCGAAATGAAAATTTCTAAACCGAAAACAAAACAAATACATACACATATACATATACATATACATATATTACACACACACACACACACACACACACACACACACACGTCAGGCCGAAACCAAAAGTGTTTTTTTTTTCTAACTTTTTAAAATATAATTTTATTATTTTTAATATTTAATTTTTTTCTAGGGGCTTAGGTGAAACTATGTGTGGTCCCTCCAAAATCCATACCAGACCCTTATCTCAGAAAGGAGCCCCCTGCCAGCATGCTTTAGAGAAGGACCCTTGTCCTCTGTGTGGAAGCGTGGTCTCTCTTCAGAGGTCCAACACACTCCCTGCTGTGTCTGAGACAGAGCTCTCCTATAAGCAAAGCTCTGAAACCCAAAAGATCAGCCTGACAGCCAGGGAAATGGCATTTTTAGAAAGGTAGAACAGCAATGGCAGCCTCCATACATCTCCAGTACCAGTTTACTTTAAAAGGATGCACTTATAAATGTGCATAGGGAACACCATATTGAAGCATGTAAGAATGCAAAGCTCGCATAAAAATGTATTTTCCGACATGCGTTACACCAACAAACACAAAACAATCAATTAAAACACCTGGTGAGCAATACGACGATCAAAACACACTGAGGATTAACAGCTCGAAACACTGAAAAAGTGACAAGAAGAACTCCCTATTCATTAACCTGTCACAACACCGAGGTGTCTAATCCTCCCACTGCCTGAGGTGCAACTGAAAAAGGCGTCCCCCTGTCATCTCTAGACATCTCTGAATGCCGGGATGGAGGAGATATGCGAGTCGTACAAAGATCCATGATGAGAAGGAATAATATTAGATCATCTTGTTGGGTTTGAACTCTTGGCGGCAACACGTGCATGGTCCCGAATGGGCCTAAGGGGGCATGCACACCTATGGCCTTCGAAAACATGCGTGTTCTAATGCACGGTTGCATCCGTGTAAAAAAAAAAAAAAGAAGAAGAGGTAATGGGACAACTGTGTGGAGACACACTGCAACAAAATGGGGAGAGTTTGAAATTCTTTTAGGAGACTTTAGCAGGCTATGTCTACCCATCTCAGTGACAACCGTTACCTTAATTTTTTATCCTGCTGACACATGGATAGGAAAAATTTGAAATCCCACCACTGGGGTCACTGGCAGTAATAACATGTTGACCGAGTATTTACTTTTAAGTCTAGCTAAAACTTTATGCCGACCTCCAGGATAAGCAAATAGTGTCTAAATGCACGAGGCATGTACACTCACCGGCCACTTTATTAGGTACACCTTGCTAGTACTGGGTTGGACCCCCTTTTGCCTTCAGAATGGCCTTAATTCTTCGTGGCATTGATTCAACAAGGTGTTGGAAACATTCCTCAGAGATTTTGGTCTATATTGACAAGATGGCATCACAGGCCCAAAGCGTGCCAAGAAAATATCTCCCACATCATTACACCACCAGCCTGAACCGTTGATATAGGAGGCAGGATGGATCCACGCTTTTCATGTTATTTACACCAAATTCTGACCCGACCATCCGAATGTCGCAACAGAAATCAAGACTCATCAGACCACCAACGTTTTTCCAATCTTCTATTGTCCAATTTCTGATCCAAGGTTCAATGTTCTGTGTGTTCAGAGATGGTATTCTGCATACCTCAGATGTAATGGAGTGGTTATATGAGTTACTGTCTCACCATTTTCCTCTGACTTCCGTCATCAACAAGGCCTTTTCATCCACACAACAGCCGCTCACTGGATATTTTCTCTTTTTGGACCATTCTCTGTAAACCCCAGAGATGGTTGTGTGTGAAAATCCCAGTAGATCAGCAGTTTTTGAGATACTCAGACCAGCCCGCCTGGCACCAACAACCATGCCACTTTCAAAGTCACTTAAATCCCCTTCCTTCCCCAATCTGATGCTCAGTTTGAACTTCAGCAAGTCGTCTTCACCACGTCCAGATGTCTAAATGCATTGAGTTGCTGCCATGCGATTGGCTGCTTAGCAATTTGTGTTATCAATTGAACAGGTGTACCTAATAAAGTAGCCGGTGAGTATATATTCTTATTTGGATCTTGGTGTGCTTTGTGCATTTCTTCTAGATCTGTACATTAATCCAGCATTCATTTTCCCTCTCTGCAGGAGCTTCCTTTAATCAAGACCAGTCACTGCTGCTCTCTCTCCTTGTGCAAGGGGACTGGTCTTGTATCCGCCCCCTCCAGTAATTATCTGCAGGCAGTCTGTAGTGGCTGGGGTCTGTTTGGCCCCTCCCACAGCTCTGCTCAGGTTATGTGCAGCATAGTAATGATGTCACTGCCATAAAAAAAAAAAAAAAAAAAAAAGAAAAAAAAAAAGATAGAAGAAGAAGAAGAAGAAGAAGAAGAAGAAGAAGAAGAAGAAGAAGAAGAAGAAGAAGAAGAAGAAGAAGGGTTCTGAGCACCATAATAATGATTACCCTGCCAAAAAAAAAAAAAAAAAAAAGAAGAAGAAGAAGAAGAAGAAGAAGAAGAAGAAGAAGAAGAAGAAGAAGAAGAAGAAAAGGTATTCACTGGATTTGCAAGGGCATCTGGTGTACAGAGTGGATTTATATGCTTTCTAGCTACCAAGGAATATAGTTGCATTTCTATACATATTTTATTTTTGGCTTGAGTTGAGCTTAAAAAAGAAAAAGAAAAAAAAAAAAGCCCTTTGGCTGAAGTTGAGCATTCAGGGCAAATTAAACAATGAAACTGAGAGCCAGATTGGTTGCTTAGGGCAGCACATACACTTTCTTTTGAAGCAAAAAGTCTCCGGAGTGCGGTATTAAGCAGGCCATGAAGTGACATTCCCTGCATGCCTCGTGGATCAAACCACAGCCGCCATTGTGGCAGTATTGATAATAGATAACAGAGAACAGGAAAGTTATGCCCCCTGGGCGGAGGTGGTGGGTGTACACCCTCCCATACTGGTGTTCAGGTAAATATACAATTATGTCTTTTTAATATGTAAAGCTCCAGTATGTTAATTATACACACTCAGGCAAAAAAACAATCCAAAATAGCCCTAGGAACCATGATAAATATCTACTCAGCTTCCTGAAAAACAACAAGTAGCATCAAATATTAACCTCTTATGGACAAAGGGAATGAAGAGTCCTAGCTGTCTTTTCTCCCCGCTGGAGTGGACACAGACCGCAGCAGGGAGGAGAACAGGTACAGCAGAGCTGATGCAGTGGCGGGGGGGGGTGGTGGGGGGGGGGGGGGCG